GCACTGATTTCTTCCGGTGCAAAAACTTTTGTTCCAGATCCGGTTTCAACTTTGATATGAGGTTTGGCATTCTTTTCAATCACTATTAGGAAAGAATAATGAGAATTAAAATGATTTTGGAATCAAAAAATAATTACCTTTAAATGGAAAGAATTTAATATCAGATTGAACAGTTGGATCACCCCATTCACGACCAATCAAACGTTTAACATCGAATACAGTGTTTTCTGGATTGCTAGTCAATTGATTTTTAGCTGCATCACCGATTAAACGTTCGCCTTCAGCGGTGAATGCTACATATGATGGTGTGATTCGATTACCCTGATCATTTGGAATGATTTCGACACGTCCATTTTTAAATACACCCACACAGGAATATGTTGTACCTATGAAAATCCATTTGGTCATTATTATTATTATTTTTTTTGAGAAAACAAAAACGAAAAACTTACCTAAATCAATACCGATTACAGTACCGACATCTTGTTTATCTTTACCACTATCCTTTTCTTTTGTCTGACCGAATGCAATTAAACATCCGATCATAAATAATGTCGATACTAATAACCTGGTCATTGTTATCACCTATAGAATTGATTGGTTTTGTTTTTTTAATAACTTTTTTGTTATCGTTTCACAATCTAATAGAAAAACAAAATAAGAAAGAATCGTCCGAAGAAATGAAAAGAAGCCGAATAAATTCTGATTCAGTTTACACTGCAGTCATGCGCTCAATAAATACTGATACCAGAATGGACACGTTTCAGATATTTGTTGTATATGCAGAGTATCAATTTATACCACGCTTGGTTTCTCGCTCACACACACATATACAGAAGAATTATGAATTGGCCGGCCTATCTCGTATATTGAACGACCAGTTTTATCATCCGTCAACGCGTCATTCGCTGATTGGTCAAATTATTTTCTGAATTGTTTTTTTTATTTAATTTTTATCTAAAGATCAGAATTATCTAAAATGATTGTTTTTCTTGTTAAATTGGATACTATTTTATCAGTTCGATTTGTAAGAAATTCTTTATTAATTTTTTAATCAGGATTTTTTTCCCAATTCATGAATAATTTTATGTTTCGTTTGTCGATCAATAGAAGGAGCCATTCAGGTGATAATTTTTTAAATTACTATTTTTACATTGATTGTCCAATATTGGTTATAATGGTAACAAAATTCTGATATGAGAATTGAATGAATCATGTGAAACATGGAATCAACAAATGTTGATTATCTTTTTCGAAATTATCTTGTTTCCGATGTTGTTCTTGTACAACAGAAACTTAAAAATGATGTACAGAAAAAACAAAACGACTTGAAACAATTGATCGGGTATGATAATTGTTTTTTTCAATTTAACTAATCAATCAATCAATTTTGCTGTTTAATTTTTTTCTAGTGAACGATATAATGAATTGTTTCGTGCGACCGATTCATTCGGTCATATGAATCTTTCGATCAATCAGTTGATTGATTCGTTGAAAAAATTATCGACAACTGTTCAGGAAAGTAAAGATGGACATAAACCGATCAACGTTGATCAAATAAATGATTCGAATTTTCCTATCAATGATAATTATTTTGCCAATGCAACTGTATGCAAGTTTTTACTTGATTTACCATTACAAATATGGAATTTTTTACATGAAGAAAACTTTTTTCTTGCTACCTATGGTAGCTACTTTGGTGATCATATTGTACAATATTTGGCTGATCAACAACAGTCATTTCAATGTTCAAATATTTGCTCACTACGATTATATTCGATTCATAATCTAAAATCACATATTATTCGAAATTGTTGGCAACAGATTGCCGAACAATCATTAAAAAATGATATTAATTTGGATGAATTTGCTCGTAAATTTTCATATTTAAAACTGTTGAAAAATTGTTCAACAACCGAAGTGATTGATGATTTTTTTAAAAATCAAGCTAATAATATTGATACAATAATCAATGAAACAAATCAAATTTCCATATTGATTGAGCAAATATTGAATATTATTTTCAATACGATAAAATGTTCACGAATATTTCATCAATCGGAAAATGATTCACTGGATTGTCTTCTTCAAATACATTTAAAAGAAATTTGTTCGACAAATCATGTTGATGAATTGATTGATGCTAGTCATGCACAGCGAATAAGATGGCCTAAAAAATTATTGTTTTATACCATAAACGATTCTATCAAAATTGAATCAGATAAAAAGATTAAATTCGATGAAACAATTCTAGTGCAATGGATACAAACAATAAAGACAAATTTTTCTACAAAAATTGAACAAAAATTCAAATCGGTTGAATCGATTCGTGAATTATTTCAAGAAATAACTATCGTCGAACAATGGCTAATGAAGAATTCCATACTCGAAAATTATTGCACATTTGTCAATGTTATTGATTTTAATAAATCAATCTGGACAGAATGGTTTATGGCTTTATTCGAAACAAGAGTGTATGAAATTACATCGATCGAATTGCAATCTATACAAACAATTTTCATTGAATCATTGCCAATGATTGAACAAAATTTGTTCAATTGTGATCTTAATATTGTTGAATTTGTTTGGAAAGAATCAAATCAACCATCGCGAATTAATGATTTTAATGGTTTAGTGCAAAAAACATGCGATATGATTAATCAAAAATTATCAAATTTTTATGAAGATATTATCATATTTCAACATAGTCATCAAACATTTCTGATTCGAATTCATTCTAGCATTGCCGAATTTCTTCGTTCACTTCAGATTCAAATTGATTCGGTTAATAAAAATCGACAAAAATCATTGTTACTTTTTGGTGCTGTACTGTTTCAACGAATGCCAGATTTATGTCCATCAATAAGTCAAATATTTTCAATGTGTGATCGAAAAACAGATTGTCTGAGTTGGCAACAAATTTCGACCCAACTTCGTGAGATAAATGAATCTTATCTACAAAACCTATTCGATATTACTATCACCGAACATTTTGCACACATTGATCCGAAATCATTTGTTGATTTGAATCAATTTTTGAAAAATTTTTCCATTTGGGAAACTATTACCATTTCAAATGATCAAGATGATCAATCTAAAACTATTGTTGAAGTACCGATGCAATTATCATTGAAAACGTATAAAGTTTTGCATGACATTTCTAATGATATTAATCGATTTTGTGCTCACACAGTAACTCGTCAGGTATTGATCAATATTTTACGATTAATCGGCCGCCAAATAGTGATACTTTATGGTGATGCATTGAAAATTTTGTCCGAACTAACCGATCCTGTTTTAAAACCACCTAAACAAATCATTTCAATACAATTATATTTTGATCTATTTTTTCTGAAAAAATTATTCATTCAAATTAAACATGATGATCATTTTCGATGCGAATATCTTGAACCAATCAACACAATGATGACCGAATTAGAATCAAATATTGATCCATTCGATATGCATCTTATACATCCTTATATCGAAGCGAATGTCTATCGATTACAAAAGTCCTATCAAATTACATTCGGATTTTTACTATTCGAACGTTTAATGAATTCTAATCTTTCTAAACCAATGAATAATTCGAATAATGAAAATGTTCATAATTTAATGTTGATACATTCCTGTCATGGAGAAGATTTTAAAACAATGTTATCGAAATAATGAATAAGTATTGAATTTTTATTATTATTGAATTATTCATAATGTGATTATATGATCATTTTTTTTTGATTTTTTAAAAATTTATAATTTTGTTTGTTTTTTTTAATGAAAAGAAACCAATATAATTTTATATGATTATTGCAAAGAATGCAGCATAACACACCCACACACACGCACAGAAAATATATTAAACGAATGTAATATGTTACATAATTATCATTTTTAAAGAATTCTAATAACGAAAACCACCTCCAGATTGTTGTTGTTGTTGTTGCTGTTGTGGATTGAATGCCTGATTCATTGCTTGACGTGCAGCTTGTTGAGCGGCACTCGTTGCCATTTGTTGTACACGTTCATTGCTCATTACTCTTGATGTAAATTCAGCTTGGGCTTTTTGGATACTTAGATCGCTTTTATGATAAATACCATGTACCTTGATGATCGAACAAAAAAAATTTTAGAATTTTAAAGGCAAAATTAAAAAAAATAATAACAAACCTTGATTAGAATATAAACTGATGCCAAAGCATAACAGGATAGAACAAAAGTACATATTAAACAAATTATTCGAAACCAACCGGATATTCCCGATGTAGAAAAATATTTCAATGTTTGAATTAGGCCACTAATTGACAAGGGAAATTTACATTTTGATAATGTTCAATGAAACTTTCATGAAATAAAACTTACATTCCACCAGAGCCCGGGAAGCCCAATGCCCAAACCGATGACAAGACCAATTGACAGAAAAAAACAAAAAAGAAAACCATAAAATTGAATGAACTATCATCCCTGTAAACAAAATGAGGAAAAATTCCATAGTTAAAGTTTGGTATATGCTTAAAAGAAAGAAAAACAAACCGGAAAGCTTTGTATAAAGGTCTAAACCAACAGATGAATGATAATGGTATAAACAATCCGATAGTAACCAATGCAAAACTAAACATTCCGGCGCCACCCGGTATTCCTTCGATGAATGCAAACAAACATCCAATGAGATTGACCAACAAAGTCAGGATATAGACTTGATTTTTGTTTAGAAAAAAATGAATAAATAATATCAACAAACAAACGAGGCAAACTTACACATCCATAATTGATAGACTTGTCGTACGATATTTTGAAAATTAATTTCAATTTCAATATTAATATCCTGATAGAAACAAGGTTGACATGGAAAAAAACTTGGCAATGGTGGAAAATTGTTGACTCGAACATTGTTGAGACGTTGTGCACGATGAAGTTCGGCTTCTCTTGCGGCCAATTCCGCCGCTTTACGATCCAATTCTTCTTGACGTTGTCTAAGCTGCTCGGCTGTTATATTGTTTGATGATGAATTTGTTGTTGATTGTTGTGGATTATTATTATAAGATAAATTAACATTTTGTGTTGCTACATTAGTTGGACTTAATATGGCTGTCGTTGGTGATGTTACCGATGTTGTAGCAGGTGGAGATACTAATGTTGGTGAAAATGGATCAACATTTGTATTGGTTGTTGTGACTGTCGGTTGATTTGCAAATGGATTATAATCAAAATCATCGGAAGCAACAGCAACAGCAGCAGCTGAAACATTATTACCCGAATTTCTTTGTCCAGAATTAGCTGCAGCTGTTATAGCTGGATCCTAACAAAACAAAAACAAACAGAAAATTATCATTCAAAAAAATAGAGAGACAAAAATAGAAAAAAAATAATAATAAACGCCTTACAGCAAATGGATCATTTTCAAAATTATATGTTGACATTTCTCAGAGATTTATTTATGTGATTTTGATTTGACAAAAATTTTTCATTTCAAAAATTCGTTTCAAAAAAATATAAATAAAATATTTTTCACTTTATTTCACGGATCTGATTTTATGATGTCATTTAAATGGTATGCCATTAAAAAACAAACACATACACAAACACAAAATCAGTGAGTCGATATTGAATATTGAAAAAAAATGTTGGTGGCAATTTTAAATTTAGTAATAAACAATGATGATAATGATGATAAATAAATAATAGATCTCTATAGTTATATGTAAACTTATATTAACATAAACAAACTTCTATATAACAAATATATATTTTATTTCTGTAGATTGTAACCATTGCAATATTTTGATTAGAAATTTTTTTTCAGATTTCTTTTTATAACATTGATTTTTTTGGTTTGATTGGTGTCTGGATGAAAACAAAAATCCTAACTTTCATACATGATTATCATTCAGATTAGAAAATGAGTGAATGATTGATTGGAGAGAATTTCAAATATAGAAAACAAATATTGTTCATTGAAAATATTCCTGATGATTCATGATGTTTTAACATTTAAAATGAGATCAAAATCAAGATTAAATACAGGGATTTTTTTGTTTTTGTTTAATAAATGATGATTTGACAACAACGAAACACCGACACAGAACACATCAACACAAATACCTTTTTTTCTTTCGAGTTTATATCAATAACTTGGGCGCATGTTCGAATGTTTTGTTTTGAAAAAAAAATATCCGATAGTATCGATAGTGAGTTGAGGGTATATTTGATTGTTATTTGGGCCGGAAATTAACGATTATTTTGATTGATTTGAGAATTTCATTAACTTAACTCAATAATCATTTGGTAACAATTGAATTCAAAATTGAATTTGAATTATTTAAATTTACAGTTGAAAAATTTTTCTGATTTAAATTTGAAATTTATAGTAATTTTGGACCGTTATTTTTGGTTTTTAATCTGTGAAATTAATTAAACGAAAGACGAAAAAAAATGATCATTAAATTGATTCGAATAAAAATTTTCCTATTCATAATGATCATTGAAATTATGAATGTTTTTGGATCATCAAACATTTTTGAATTGCCCGAAACAAATGTTTCATCAATTGGATGGAAATTATCAGTTGAAAAAATTTTTTCCGGTTCAATATCTTGTGGTTTAAAATATCTACCAAAAACAATTGGATTTTCATTTCATGAAAATAATATTTTTCAATTTATAAAAGATAATGATCTTAAAGTTATTGTTTATCCAAGAATTTGGTCACATATTAAAGAAAGTAAACAAAAAATTCAATTTGATCTATCAATTGGTCGAAGATATTATTTGGCTGAAATCGATAGATCAATGAGAGAATTTTTAACAAGATTTGATCAACATTCACATGCACATGCAATGGCAATTGTAGCCAAAACTAGTGATATATCATTATTTGCCTTTCTTTTTCATCAAAATGATAATAATTTTACATATGGTTATCATTTATCATCAGAAAAAAATATAAACGTTGGTAATATGGATGATTGTGATTTCAATCCAAATTGTCCATCATCATTTGCATCAATAATTATGATCAATACAGATACCAAAATTTTTATTCTTACAACAAAAATGCTTAATGATTCAAGTAAAAATTCATTACAAAATTTTCATCTTGATAAAATTATCGGTTATTTTTGTATGTTGAAAGAGCAAAAAAATCAAATAATATTATCCAAAACACCTTGTAAAATTGATAATCATAATTTAAATGAAAATGATCGATTGATTCATTTTGATTATGGATTTGTTTTCAATCATCAACTATATTTGATTGATAAAAAAAACAATGAGGTATGGGAAATTGATTCGAAAATTTTAAGTCATCATGGAAAAAAATCTTCCATAATCATTAGAAAAATGGATGATGTTTTTTATTGTTCACCAAACCATACTGAAACAATGAAACCAACTACGATCAATATCCAAACAACAAATATCAAAACAAAGATGATCAGTTTAACTACCAAACCGATTATTCGCATTACCACCACCACCACCACAGTCAGTCGGCCGACCGAAAAATCTTCAAATTATAATTCATTAATAATTGCAATCATAGTGTACATTGGCATAATATCAATCGGTTTAACATTATTCATATATTTTAAACGTAATTTAATAATTGATGAATATGTTAAAATGACAAAAAGATCGGTTCCATTATCACGTTTTTCATTATTTCGTTCGGGTATTCGTTCGAAACGTATGCGTTCAGCTATTGGTGGTTGGGGAAGAAGTAATTCATCGAATCGTTCAACTATTCTTTCTACAGAATTAACATCTAATATATAACAGTTTTTTTTTCTATCTCAATTTTTAATGTTAATTTTATTGACGAAAAAAAAATAAAAGAAAGAAAATTTGAATGAAAAAAACAAAATAAAACCAAATATATTTTCGATATTTTCAATCATGTTTTGTTTCGAAAAATTTTCGATAGTATCGATAGTGCGTGTTTGATTGTTATATAGCCGGAAATTAACGATTACAATTAACAATTAACAATAACAATTAACAATTGAATTGAAATTTAAAATTCGAATTATATAAAATTAACAGAGAAAAACTATTTAGATTTAAACTTAAAATTTTAAATAATTTTGACCGTTATTTTTCTTTTAATCTTTTAGAATTTAATGAAAGAAAAAATTATGATAAAAATTTTCTTTTTCATAATGTTCAACGAAATTATGAATGTTTTTGGATTACCATTGTTTTTTGAAGAATCTGATTCGACTACTGTTTCTTCAAATATTCAAACTATCAAACATAATCATCATATAATAAGAAAATCTATGAATTATTATCCAATAATACTTACAATCATAATATTTATTGTTTTAATATCAATCGGTACAATGTTATTCATTTATTTTAAACGTAATGAAATACTTAATGATTATATTAAAATGGCAAAAAGATCGGCTCGATTTACACGTTATCCAATGAAAACTACTCATAAGATTGATACTACTGGTTCAAAAAGTCCTACATCGACTATTTATTCTGCTTTACGTTCGGCTTTTCTTTCGGCAGAAGAATCATCAACATAAACTTTATATTCAAAAAAAAAAATTCAATGTTTTGTTTTCTATCTCAATTTTTAATGTTAAATTTTTTTTTATTTATTCATTGAATTGAAAAAAGGAAGGGTTAATTTGATTTAAACAAATTTAAAAAAAACGAAAAATAAATAAATAAATGGAAAAATTTGAATCAGAAATCACAGTTTTTTTTCTTTGTCTTTCTCTTTATCTTTCTCTCTCGCTCGCAAACACACACTTATAAACACCATCCACATTTATAAAAACAATAACAATATTAAGAAGACAAAAAGGTAAGCGACAAAAATATATTTTCAAGAAAAGGATTTTTTTTTTGTTGAAAAAAAATTAATTAAAATCCATTTGGATATGAAGATGATGATGATGGTGGTGATACTTGTGTTACAGGTGAATTAGATAATAATGATGATGATTGTTGTTGTTGTTGTTGTTGAGGAGAATAATTATGATTATAAAAATTATTATTATTATTATTATGATTAAAATATTGTCTAAAATTATCATTATAAAATGTAAATGGTTTTGGCATTAATATTAAACGTCCTTGATCAGTACAATCCATATTAAATTGTCCAATAACATCACGTATACGTTGTGCAATAATATTTTGTTGTATAACACGTTGATGTATACCGAAACAAAGAAATAATATAATCAATATTAAACAATTTATTGTAAATAAACGATGATTATATAATGATTGCCAAAATGATGATTCTAATGTTTCAATATCTAATAACCATTGTATAGCTGTTATTAATGTAATTATAATCGATATGGCTAATATCCAACGCCAACGTTTTGTTTGTGGTTCATAATTATGAATTATTTCCATTAAACGATTTTCAAATGCATGTAAATCTGTGTGGGAAAAAAATAAACAAAAGGAAAATTGAAATTTTTATATTCAAATAAGACGTATCAAACAAAAAACGAAAAAATCGAATAATATACCATCACATATGATTTGTTCCAATGACATTTGAATTTGTTGTTCATTAAATTGATATGTTGTAGTTGTTGATGTTGATGTTGTTCGTGGAATTGTTGATAATTCTTGTACATGAATATCATCTTCTTCATCGAATAGTAATGTTTCTATACTATCTTCATCATCATCATCATCATCATCATCATTACTGTTGTAATTAATATTTGTCGAAACATTATTATTATCAAATTGATGAAATGTTGATGAACGTTGATGATGTTGAAAAAATTTTCTTTGTTGTTGTTGTTGTTGTTGTTGATCATTCTGTTGTTGTTGTTTATCATTTGATAACATTATTATTTTATCATCATCATTATCATCATTTATCAATGATTCTTGTGTTTTTAGCATTTTTGTTTTGATTATTGTAAATATTGTGACTGGTAAAATTCAATTCATAATTGATAAAGATTTATAGTTATTATTGTTCGTTGTTTCTCAGTGTGTGTAAGTGTTTGTCTGAGTACATGTGACACGTGTATATGTTTTCGTTTTCTTTTTCAAAAAAAAGAAAGATAAAATTAAGAAAATTCTACATAGAATTTAATTGATTGATTGATTAAAGATTATCGATCTATCTAATCGATAACAACGACAAAAACATTTACAATTTGGACTACAAATCGATATAATCATTTGGTTTTTTAAAGAAAATGGAATGTTTTTGGAAATTTGCTTTTGCAAGACAACGATTATTATTATCAAAATCGAAATCAATTTTTTTCAATCACATGGATATGATGATTAGAGCCAAAACACTATCAACAATAACAACAACATTAGCAGCAGCAGCAGCAAATGCTGCCCAAATCAATAGTAATGGCAAACGGCATGTTGCCGGTATTTGTAGTGGTATATTCAGAATGAAGATTAGTAACGCCATCTTGATGCCATCATTGATGATATCATCATTTGATCATCATTGGGTGTGTTGTCGTCATTATTATTGTAATTTTTCTAATTGGAAAAATCGATCATTACAAATACGATCATTTACTACCGATCGAAAAAAATCAACAACAAAAAAAATGTCGGATGAACAATCAAAAGCACAACAATCAACCGATGATGGTAAAGAAACAATTTTCGGTATGATGTTAGCCGGTAAAATACCGGTAAAATTTATCTATGAAGATGATATGGTTAGTATTTTGTTTTCTTTCTTGAAGAAAAAGATTTGAATTCAATTTCCTTTTGCAAAATTTTTTTTTAGTGTGTTGCCTTCGATGACATCAACCCTGTTGGTATGTAAATTTGATTAGTTCTTTAGCATTTGAGTTTATTTATTTTGTTTTCGTTTTTGTTTTTGAAAATAAAGCACCGGTACATTTTTTGGTCATTCCACGTAAACCAATAACACAATTATCAAAATCAACTGATGATGATCAAATGATTTTAGGACGAATGATGTGTGTTGCACGTAAAGTAGCCGAACAAAAAGGTCTAGCCGAAAATGGTTATCGTTTGGTTATGAATAATGGTCGACATGGTTGTCAATCCGTTTATCATATTCATATTCATGTTATTGGTGGACGTCAATTAGGTTGGCCACCATGTTGAAACAGAAAAAGAAAAGATTTCACAGATCTTTGGAATTCAAAAATTCAAAAAGTTCTTCAACAACAGCAAAAAAATTGATTTTTTTTTAATAACATCATCATCATTATGCATAATGAAATAAATATTTAATGAAAGCAAAATATGTTCAAAAAAACAGAACCAAAAAAATTTGTATTTTGTGTTTGATATTTCATGAATCTGATTCATTACCAAATACATTATTTGGTATATTGTGGCTTTGGTTATTGTCATTATTATAGGTATAATTATAATAATAATTTGTAACACAATTTGAACATGATCTGATTGTTGAACCATTATTATTATCATCATTATTTGGATTTGTATTTGTATTTGAATTTTGTTCATTATATTTTGATGAACGACGTTGTTGTTCTTGATGATCTTCTAATCGTTTAATTATATCCATACTGTTTATATGGCCATGATCATAATCGAACATATTTTCCTTTTTTTTTATTCATTCGAAAACAAAACAAACAAAAATAAAATATTGAATGATGTTATGGAAATGAGAAAAGAAAAATTTTTCGAAATACTTACATTCTGTTCCAATTGATCATGTATACGATGACAAAGATCAAAAAATAAATTCTGTATATTAAGATTATTTTTACAACTACATTCATAAAATGGTACATCTAAACGTTTAGCTAATTGTTTAGCTTGTTCATGATCAACAATTTGATAATTTTGATCAAGATCACATTTATTTGCAACCAATATTTTGATTACCTGTGGTGATGCATTCTTTTTTTTTGTTGAAAAAATTTCAAAAATAAAATATTCATTTATTCATCAAATGCCAGAAAAGAAAAATATTTGTTTGTATAAACTTACTTCATCAATATTTTTAAACCAATATTGTACATGTTGAAATGATTCTAAATTTGTTACATCATAAACAACAATAATACCCATTGCACCACGATAATAAGCAGTGGTTAATGCACGGAAACGTTCTTGTCCGGCTGTATCCCATAATTGTAATTTTATTAAATTTTCATCACCATCATCATTATCATCATCTAATTTGATCATTTTTTGTTTAAAATCGATACCTTTTTTCATAAATAAAAATTTGTAAATTAAAAAAAATAAAATTTACAAATTTACATACCAATAGTGGAAATATAACCATCGATAAATGAATCATCACAAAATCTTTGTACAATACATGTTTTACCAACATTTGAATCGCCCAATAAAAGTATCTTATAAACATTATTATTATTGCTATTACTATTTCCATTATCTTTGGTATCCATTTTAATTATTTTATTTTTTTTTTTTAGTTTGTTTGTAAATTGACCAAAAAATAATTGTAGAATCGTTTTGTTTTGTTTTGCGGCTTTGTGGACTAAATTTAAACGACGAAATTTCCAGATCAATAATAATGGCTAGTTGGTTTGTTTGTTTTTGGCGGATAAAATTGTTTTTTTTTGTCTATTTTTCTTTCTAAATTGAAAAAATCATCATTATTATTATGGTCAGCAACAATTATATTCAATGTGGGAGGGGGAAAAAACAATTTCGTTGAAAACAAACCTCGGATCAAGAAATAACGGTGATGATCGGTTACATCATAATGAAAATGATGTTATTCAATGAAACAAAACAACAACAACAACAAAATTTAATCAAATTTTCACTTTGTTTGTAACTGATGAAATTTAATATTATGAAATTAACGGAAACAAAACAAAAACCAAAACAAAAACCAAATTCAAACAAACAACAAAACAAACAAACAACAACAAGGAGAGAAAATTTTTTCCAATTTCGTTAATAATGATGATGATTATTATTATTGATTATCCAGGTTATTCGATTATTTGATTATTCATTCACAATTGTTTCAATCGGGAATAATGAATTCGAATGATTTTTCTTTGATGATGATGATGATGATGATGTGGCTACTTTCATGTGCGTTTGTGTAATGCAATATTTTATTACGAAAAAACCCCAAAAACAAGAATATTCTGTCTGTTGTTTTCTGCAGCCTTCGAATATATATTCCCAAATTTAAGGTTTCTTCTTCATTTTGGTTAGCCCGCTATATTATAAACTGAATTCCAAACCAAAGTGTGAATTGAAACATTGCAAATTGAGAAACATGCGCCAGCACTTGCTCTTTCCTGATTCGTATAAGGAACGATCGACCCAAAAGAATATTATCATAATGATGATGATAACTAGTGAAAAATTTCTTCATTTTCGGGAAATAATTTGCAAATAAAAATAGAATAAAATTAAACAAAACAAACAAAAACAAACAGATATTTTGTTTTGTTTAGTAATTTTATCCAAAAATTTGCTTTTTCAATGGAAATTAAAAATTAACAAAAAAAAATTGAAATCAAATTCAGAAAATTCATGTTTCATTTGATGTGATATTAATCTTTTGACATTTTAATTTTTTTCTGCTTTCATACGTAGGTTTTGTAAATTTGATTTTTTGAATAAAAAAAATTTCCTTGTTTTTTTGTTGTCAAATTTTAACCGGATTTGCTTCAGGTAATATTCTTTGTTTGCTGTTTCCAGTATGTGTGTACCGTATGTTAATCGGATCTTGCATAGAATAAACAAATAACATGGAAGATTAAAAGATGAAAATACGAAATGCGATTAGTAGAAAATTGATTTATTTATTTATTTCTTGAGAACAAAAAGGAAACTTTGTAATAAAAAACCTTGAGACAATGGAAAAGAAAGAGAAAAATCACTTCAAGTAAATTGAAAAACAATGTTCCCGTTGTTGATTTTGGATTGAAAAATTTCAAAATGTTTTGCTCCTGTTTATGATGCATAAAATTTTTTCAACTGTTCCAATTGATAATTCCAATAATTTTTTCGTACAGTATCAATCGATTTGGCCAATTTTTCACAATAATCAACCGCTTGTTCATATAATGATTTCATTGTTTCAGAATTTTTATCATTATCACCGCCATCATCATTTTCGATTAATGATTCCATTTTTAATGTTAAAAAACGAAACATAAAATAAACTAAATGCGGTGAACATAATGTTTTATCCGTTTGTTCATTATACATTGTTTGACATTCATCCAAAATCCATTCGAATGATTCAATTTTTGTATCGGATTGTTTGATAAGGCCAAATAAATAATTCCAACTTGATTCATTATTTGGTGCTAAACGATTTTTTTCCATTGTATATTCACATTCTTGTTTGATTATATCGAATGAAAAACCGGTTGTATTTTTAATGACAAAAAATCGATGATTCCATGCCGAATTATTACGTATATCATGATCAATCATTTTTTCGGTAAAATCAATTTCACCATCAAATTTTTTCCAATCACGAATAAACCATTGTCGTTGTTGCCATGCATGATAATTTTTTGAATCATCATAATGAAGTACTTTATCAATAAATTGTTTAAATTTTTGACAAACATCTTCGATAGTTAATTTTCCATCGAATTCATTTCGTTCAATTTTTTCACGAATTTTTCGTAACATAAATTTTTGATGTTCCCAAACTTGATAATTTTTTGGATTTTTCAATATAATTCGATGAATATAATTCAATTCATCGATTGGATCTTTTTTCAAACGTTCCAACAATATACGACGATAATGCCAAACAGTATAATTGGTTGGATTGAAACGAATACAATCTTCGGTTAATTGTAATGCACGTTCACTAATTTCTTCTTTAGCCATTATAGCACGAAAATAATTATATGTATCTTCATATTGTGGAAGATAACTAATCGATACAATTGCATGATGACCATCATTCTGTTTAACCGGTTCAATATCAGCCCAATCTTCACGATCTTTATACATAACAAAATCATTACCATAATATTCATCTGATGATGAATCATCAGCATCAATTTGATCTGGATTCAATATGGTAAATGTAGCCATGATTATAAATTTTTTTTTCAAAATCAAATTAAAATTGTTTCGAAAATTGTACGCAAAAAAATAATCACCTGAACAAAATAAATCAAAACGTAACAATCTTTATGAATATTACCACCATCAACAAAAAAAAAATTAATCCAAACAGCCAATCAAAATAATAAAAAAAACCACATTTTGTTACAACAACGGAATATTGTTGAATGAACATTTGCCACTACCTCCGTTTCCCCCCATAACATACAAACAAACAAACGCACACTGTCGTCGTGGTCGTCGTCGTCGTGTTTCCATTCTTCTTCCCTTCTTCTTCTTTTTCTGTGTCTTATGCATGTGTTCGTTCGATCCAGAAAATAATAAACGAAAATCCAAAATTAAATTTTTCATTTTTTTTTTTGTTTTGAAATTTTTTTTTCAATTGTTTAATTTTTCATTTTGAAAAAAAATAAAAACAATTCAGTTGATAGTTGTGTTTATATATAGAATTTTATTATTATTGAAATTTTTCATACGAAACAAACAAACAAACGAATATCATAATGTCCGAAAGTAAAGATTCAACAACAACAACAGCAGCAGCAGCAATTAGTGGTGATGGAGAAAAGAATACAATTGCAACGGATATTGTTGTAACCAAATATAAGATGGCAGGTGAAATGGTTAATCGTAAGTTTCTAGCCAAATTCTTTTCTGATTGTTTGATTGAATAATTCTACGTTTTTCTTTCTGAAATTCAGGTGTATTGCAACAAGTATTGGATAAATGTGTTGCTGGTGCTAGCATTATTGATATTTGTGAATTTGGTGACAATCAAATCAATGAAGAAACAAGTAAAGTTTTTAAAAAAGAAAAAGAAATTAAAAAAGGTATTGCCTTTCCTACCTGTATCTCGGTGAACAATTGTGTATGCCATTTTTCACCATTGAAAAGTGATCCAATTGTTACATTAAAAGATGGTGATCTGGTTAAAGTGTATGTTATATTAATTAATTAATCAATCAAATTGAATATAATTATTATATTATATAGTGATCTTGGCGCCCATATTGATGGCTATATGGCATTAGCCGCACATACAATTGTAATTGGTGCTACAATGGAGAATAAAATTAAAGGACGTAAAGCGGATGCATTGTTAGCCGCATATTATGGTTCAGAAGTTGCATTGCGTTTAGTACAACCAGGTAATGAAAATACTGCCGTTACTGATGCTGTACAAAAAGTATCCGATACATTCAATTGTAAACCAATATCTGGTATGTTGTCACATCAATTGAAACAATATCAAATGGATGGTGGCAAAACAATCATACAGAATCCTACCGATATTCAACGTAAAGAACATGAAAAATGTGAATTTGCTGTTCATGAAGTGTATGCCATCGATGTGCTTATCACCACTGGTGATGGAAAGGTAAATCAAAAAAAAAAAAAAAAAAAAAAATTATTTGATGATACACATGTTGAACGATATGTAGCAGCATCTGTATCATCAAATACAAATCGATCATTAGTTTTCTAATTTTTCTGGGTATTTTTCCATTTTCTATTCATTCAATTTTTCACACTACAATATCAAATTACAATACACTTATATAGACAAGAGAAATGGATTCAAAGACAACGATTTATCGTAAGACCGATGAAAATTATCAGCTAAAAATGAAAGCATCACGTGTACTATTTTCGGATATTGATAAAAAATTTGCCAACATGCCATTCACATTGCGTGCATTGGATAATGAACAAAAAGCACGTATGGGTGTTGTCGAATGTGTCAAACATAAATTATTAGAACCATATAGTGTTTTATATGATAAAGATAGTGAAATAATCGCTCAGTTTAAATTTACTGTATTATTGATGCCATCCGGTTCGCACAAAATTACTGGTCTATCATTTGATCCATCCATTTGTGAATCTGAACATTCAATAGAAGATGAATCATTGAAAACAATTCTTGCCAAAGGTTTGACGAACAAAACAGCTAAAAAGAAGAAAAAATCAAAATCATCAACAAATGTCGGTGATGGAAATAATGATGCGGGTGATTCCTCTGATGCTGCTGCTGCTGTGGGTGCTGCCCCGGAAAATGGTGGTGGTAGTTCATCAAATAAATGAACCGAAAAATAAATAAGAAATTAAATTGTTTTGTATCACCCCATTTCCAAGTAACTAATTGATATCAAGGATTTTCTTCATGTATTTTTGTTTTTTTTTATTTTGCAAAACATCAAATGATTTTTTTTGTCCAATTTGAAAAATCATCATCAAAAACCGATGATATTCCCATAAGATTAAACCGAGAGAGACAGAGATACTTCTTGTTCGATACTAATTGAAATGTTTGGAAATCTTCACACCAAACACACATATTATAGTTTGTTATAAGAAAAAATCTTGAATTTATTTTTCCTTTTCCTAATTCAAAACAACAACAACAAAAAGAATATATCAATTTCAAGCAAAATAAAAAAAATAATTATCAAAACTCGCGAAAGATTTATGATATTTGATGTAATAATCGAAAATTTCTTTAATCGATTGATTGACTTGATTTGATGATGATTATCTAATGGTTTTAATCAATGTTTCGAAATCACGTATCATTCATTAGTAATGCCTTTCTATCTTTTTTTTCTTCTTCGTTAGTTTTCCGTCATCATCATGAGACATTGATTGATTAAAAATGAAATGTGAATAATTCACGTGGTACAAGTATGGTTTTTCGATTTTCAATAATAACAAATTGGATCATCATCATCACCATCATCATTAATCCATGAAAAAAAAGATTAATCGAAGTTTGATTGATTGTTTTTGGTCGGAAAATCGATATGGTTTATGTCTTGATTTTACCACTATAATTTTTTTTCTTTTTTGAATCGAAGCTTCGAAGTGGCTATTTAGACCCGAGATGTTGACATGATTCCAATCATTTAACATTTATAAGTGGGTTGTATTTTGTGAAGAGCATCAATTCTATTAAATCGAATCTTTTTGATTTTTTTTTTGTTGATAAATCAAAACAAATATTTCTTTCCGTGTTTATAATTATTATGAATTAATTAAATTTAACATTAAAATTAATTAAAATTATTATAAATCATCATTATCTTACTAAGGGTAAGTTGCATGAAATTTGTATTTAATTTTTTATTTGTAAACAAAAAACAAAATATTTTTGCATTTATTTTCCCTGTTTACCTTGAAATATTAGCACTTTTCTTGATCGCATTTTCTTTCCTATCTTTATTTTTGCTTTTCGCACATTGGTACAACCGTACCACTTTCTGGTCACTATCATCATCATCATCTTTATTTTTATTTTGTTTGAATGAAAAAATATCATTCAATTATTTTTCGTATATGATCAACGTAACAACAAAAATATTAAATAGAAAAAAATGGAATTAAAACAATTACTTGAACGACAATCATTAGCAATTAAATTGGCTAGAAAAGCCGGTGAACTAATTATGAAAGCTTCAGGTGAATTAATATTGGTTGATGAAAAATGTAGCTTTGCCGATCTAGTTACCGAAAGTGATAAAGCTGTTGAAGAAATGGTATTCGATGAGATTAAAAAACAATATCCAAATGATAAATTTATTGGTGAAGAATCAGCAAACGATACTGATGAATGGTCGGATGATCCAACATGGATTATTGATCCAATCGATGGTACCACTAATTTTGTACATAATTTTCCATTCTGTTGTATATCGATTGGTTTCACTTATAAACGTATACCATGTTTGGGTGTTATTTATCATCCACATTTGGATCATCTATACAGTGCTGTTAAAGGTCATGGTGCTAAATTAACAAAACCTAATGGTGAAACTATTGATATACGTGTACGTCCATGTCCATCATTAAGTAAGGCATTGGTTGTAGCCGAAATAGGCAGTCAACGTGATGAAGCTAAACGTGAATGTGTATTCAGGAATTTGGAATCCATTGCATGGGCAAGTCATGGTATTCGGTCATTAGGTTCAGCAGCATTAAATATTTGTGCTGTTGCATCCGGACAATTGGATGCATTCTTTGAATTTGGTCCATATATTTGGGATATTTGTGCCGGTGTTGTTATTGCAATGGAAGCCGGTGGACATGTTTGTGATACAACCGGTGGTAAATTAGATCTACAAGGTCGACGATTTATATTTGCAAGTAGTGAAAAATTGGCCAAAGAAATTGCTGATAAATTGGTAGTACAAATGGAATTTAAAAATGGTGAAAAATAATTTCTTCAACAAAAAAACAACATCAAACTATCAAATTATTTTATTTTATTATTATTATTATTTTGTTCATAAATCATATCGCTAGAATTGAATCACTATCATTTTACAATTATCAAATTTAATAATAATTATAACCTGATTATATTGTTATCACTTTTTTGTTTGTTTTGACTGAAAAGAAAAAAGAAAAAATTAATATTTTTAAAAAATAAGATGATTTTCATTTTCAAATTGATTTGATTTTCGTGTTTTTTTTTTGTTATTTTGTTTTGTTTTATTTACAAAGATTTTTAGGTGACGAAAGATTTATTTATTTCTGTTGATTGGCTAATAACAATAACAACAGCAAGAATGAGTTGCTTCAAGGATGGTCACGATTCGTTGCAAACAACAACGACACGACAACAATTTGAATCGGTCGAACGGCCATTTATAATACGTGGCCTATTGAAGGATAAATGGCCATGTATACAATGGACATTGAATGATTGGGCAGATAATTGTCACCATGAAACTAAGTTTAAATTTCGTGTCCATCGAAAACAATCATCATCATCATCATCAAAACAATCATTTTTTAATAATAAAAAAATCAAAATTAATAATGAAATTTATCCAAATAAATTGTCAACTAATGATGATAATTTACCAACTGAAGAATCATCATCATCATCATCCATTGATGATTATTGGGAAAATGAATCTATCGATATGATTACGGCTACAATGAGACAATTTGTTGATTTTATTATGATGGCAAAAAATAATAAAGATGGAAATGAAAAAACCAAATTAGATTCCGAAAATCCATTTCTACCATATTCATTAGATGATTATTGTTTTTATAGTTCTTATAATCATATTGATAAAATAATGGATGATGAAAGTTATCGAAAAATTTCGAATGCAATCAAATGGAATAATTTAGGTCTGTGGAAATCGGAATCGAATGAAGAATTACATTCGACTATTTGGATCGGTACGGCCAATTCCTGTACACCATGCCATCAGGATACATATGGTTATAATTTTGTTGGACAATTATATGGAAGGTAAGTCCGTTTTTTCAACCCTTTTCTTTCGATCTTTCAATCCACCCACGCACAAACACCAATCTGATAATCATAACGGGGACATTTCTTAAATAGAATATCCTCATTTTTTTCCATTTCGATCATTTCAAAATGGTTCATTTTCTCTTCTCAAATGAAAAATCTAGACTGGATCGAATTTCAAAAACACACACACACGTTGTTGTTGTTGAAAAATGTACGAAAAAAAATTTAATACGGTCAAATCTAATGTACAAAAAAAAAATTCATTGAAAGAAATTCATTCTCTTTTTTGGTTGGTTGATTGTGAACTCAATAATTCACATTTATTTTGTTGTCTTTCTCTCTGTTTTTTTTTCAGTTCGCATTTCGATGATAGCATCGTATTTTTTTTTATCCATCAAAAATCAAAAATCAAAAATTTAGATTTTTAGGCCTCCACTAACCATCATCATCATCATCATCATTCCTTGATAAAAGTTTTTGGATTGAAAACAACAACAAAAAAAAATTGAGAAAAATTTTGGTTTGAAACATTTTCATCGAAAAACCAAATTGATGCAATATTGCTCGATATAAGAAAATCTTTTTCTTTTCTCTCGTTGAATTCAATACAGGGGAAACAAAACAATTTACTTTTTCTCACAAATTTCAAACAATGTCTAAATGGCTCAACTAATATATACATTTTTCTTCATCCTCGAAATGTGAAAAATTAAGTTATTTAGTTTTTTTGTAAACGCGTACAATAGTATAGTATAGTAGCACGCCTACGTTTGTTGTCATCAAAGAGGCAACAACAAACAACAACCACGAAAATATTCAAAAATATCGGTCAAGATCGCATTGATGATGATGATCATCATCGACCAATTCCATTTTCTCTTGATATCCTGTGTGTGTGTGTGTGTTTTGTTGTTGTTGTTGTTGTTTTACCATTTTTCAATACACACACACACAAATCATTCATTTGTATTCTCCAAATTCCAATGACTTTCATTGGTTATCATTGTTTTTTCGAATGTTGAATCTTTCATAATTCATTTTTTCGTTGTTGTTACTGTTGATTGTTGATTGTGAATGGTATTTATGGGCTTCCTTTGAAATGTTATTGATGATTAATAAATGGAATGAATGAATGATTGAAACCACCTTGATTCTGATTCAATCAATTCATTATATTCATTGTTTGAATCAAACAAACATAAAAATGTATCTATTACATTCAAATAGAGCTTGTCATCATATTAGATTAGATTTCTGAATTGAATTAGATCGATGTGTGTGTGTGAGAGAGATAGGTATATTTTTCTGATTCGTTCCAAATGTTTAGAATGGGGAAAAAAGAAAATTGGATTAAATTTTGCGTTTAATAGCACAAGGTAAACATTTCATTCATTCATTTAGTGAATGAAAATTGTCGACCTTTTTTCTCTCTCTCGCTTTCGCAAACATGAATTATTATTTTTTTTTCTGTTTCATTTTGGTTGCCATACATTCAATGATCTGATTTATTAATTGTTTTATTTTTTTCTTTTTTCATTTCATTTTTCATTTTTTTTCCAAAGAAAACAATGGATTCTTTTTCCACCGAATAATATTCGAAATTTATATCCAACACGTATTCCATATGAAGAATCATCTATATTTAGTCAGATAAATTTTCAAAAAAAAATTAATCTAGAACAATATCCATTATTTCAACAATGTAGGCCATATATAATCATTGTTGAATCGGGTGACCTATTACATGTTCCACATCATTGGTGGCATTATGTTGAAAATTTAGATCATATAAATATAAATAATAATGATAATGATCAGGTATCTATTTCGGTTAATGTTTGGATTGATCATACAGCAAAAACATTAATCGATAAGAATATTATCGTAAATTATCGTGATCATATTCAAGAATGTTTAACACAATTATTATTCAATTCATTACATCAAACTATTGGTTTATCCGATGAAAAATGGCTCAATTCAATGGATACGAATCCATTATCGTCAAATGAATTAATACAAACATTAAATCATCTAATTGGTCAACATCGTGATGATAATTCCAATGATGATTGTTATAAATATCAAAAACCAATTGAACTTCAAGTAGAATATCTAAATGAAACGGATATTGAACATTTATCATCACGTTTAATGAAATCGAAAACGTTTGTTAACGATGATAACAGAAAATTGATAACATCTAAAGATATTGTCAATAGTATATTGGATCCCGAAGTTATTAATATTTTGATTGATAAATTATTAAATAAATGATTCAAATAAAATTTATCTATTTTTGTAACCAAAAATTTTGAATTTTTTAAAATTTTCATTTCGTAACGTAGTTTATGAAGCATGCATTCAAAGTGAACTCACATGATCATTTGCGAAAACATTCGAAACGCATGAAAATCATTTGCTCCATTGCAATGTTTTGCAATTAAAATTTATCATTTTTTTTATCATTTGACCCTTTTTTTGTAATTAATTTGATTGTTATAAATCTATAAAATAACGATATTTGTATATTTTTTGTTGTTGAAAACATTAATATCATTTGATGGAGGATTCATCATTACGACGAGAATTGGCCATTGCCGTCCTTCGTGTTGGTTTAATCGCAGCTGCATCATATCTGACCGTTAAATGGATGATCAATGCCATCGATCCGACAAGAAAACAAAAATCAAAAGCCAAAGAAAAGGTAAATGAAAGAAAATAATGATTATTTACATTGGTCATGTTTAAATTATTGTAATTAAATTCTATCTGATTATATATCGTTGTTTTTTTGTCCTTGTCCTTGTTTGGTATTTTTTTTTCTTCATTTTTTAGGCGGAAAAAACCTTACAAAAAATTGGTATATCATCATATAAAAATGTACTAACTGAATATGAATTAACAATAGCATCACAGTTAATAAACCCTGAAGAATTGGACATAACTTGGAATGATATTGCCGGTTTAGATGAAATTATTGATGAATTACAAACTACGGTCATATTGCCATTGAAAGTACCGAATTTAACAATTTATTCCAAATTACATGAACCACCAAAAGGTGTTCTACTATATGGGCCACCCGGTGTAGGAAAAACAATGGTAGCCAAAGCGACTGCTAAAGAAGCTGGTGCAAGGTATAGTTAATGATAATTGTATTAATTAGTTATTAATGGTTTTTTTTCGTCATATAAAATAGATTCATCAATTTAGACATATCAGCATTGACTGATAAATGGTATGGAGAATCACAAAAATTAGCAGCCGCAGTATTCACCTTGGCAATCAAAATACAACCTTGTATCATCTTCATTGATGAGATTGATTCGTTTCTACGTAAACGTGAAACACATGATCATGAAGCTACATCAATGATGAAGGCACAATTTATGATACTTTGGGATGGCCTTATTTCTAATAATAATTGTTCGGTAATTGTTATGGGTGCAACAAATCGTCCGAGTGATGTTGACTACGCAATACGAAGACGTATGCCGGCTACTTTCCGCATTGGTCTGCCTAATCTTGATCAAAGGCAACAAATATTGAAGCTAATATTATCGAAAGAATCGCTTGATGATAATGTTGATCTTGAAACATTGGCCAAACAATGTGATACATTTAGTGGTTCTGATCTAAAAGAATTATGTCGACTTTCAGCAATGATACGCATAAAAGAATTATCAAATTCATGTTCTAATCAAATTGATCATACAAATGTTGATCAATTTATGTTAAATTTACGTCCAATCAAAATGAACGATTTCATGATGGCATTGGAAAAAATGAAACGAACTAAGAATAATGTACTTTTAAATGGTTCGGAATTTTTAGATAATTTAACCTATGATTGAAAATAATTTTGTCATATAAATTCTATTCATCATCATAATCATCTTAATATATTGTTTATTGAAAAACATCTTAGTATGGCAGCAACAGAAAAAAAATTGTTCGTTTTTTTTTCTTTGTTGAAAAAAATCATGTCAACAGAAAGAAATCACTTTTTTTTCTCATATTGTAACCCGTTATTATTATTATTATTCATTATAAATAGTCTTAATTTTTTTTTTGGAAAGTATTATTTATTAAGATCATTTTGGCATTGATTTTTTGTTCTTGTTTTTTAAAAAAATATGACACAATTATTATGATTGTTTGGGCGCGAAATAATTTTCAATGATCCATTATAATATTCATCGTTTTCAATTTACATATATATAATTACTAATGTGTAAGTGTGAAAACAACAAAAAGAAAAGGATACAAAATGCGTATACATTGCAATGAACCCGATTGATGGTGGGGATTGGTGGTGGTGAAAAAAATAGTTATTTGAAAAAAATTGATGCAAATCTTTCAGATTTTCATATCCGGTTGATGATAATATTTCGATCTTTGATCCTTTGTGAAAAAAGGGGTGCGTTTTGCCATTGATTGTGATTGATTGATTGATTGATCAATTTTAGTTAGTTTTTTTTTGTTGCCCTCAAATATTTATATATTTATTTTCACACGATATCGATAATCGAAAATAATATCAATTTGTCATTATCATCGAATAATGATGAATGGGAGATGTTGATCATTGAAATTGATGGCCAGAATGACATTGAATTTTTTTTCTTTTCTACAAATAAATGTTTGATTAATTTATTGATTGCAAATGTTGTTATTTTGTTTGTCGAGAATGTGATGATCAACATGGCCATGACATTGACGATTTCCAAATTATTTTTTTGTTTCGTTTGTTTTGTTTCCCATACTCAATCCCAAGAATCATCAGTCTCATCATTTTCGAAATCTGGTTCTATCCGGAAAAAAATTGATCAAATTTGATTTCATTATTGATCTTTGAACCTACTTGAAGAGTAAATGTTTATCTTTTTCTTTTTCAAAAAATTTTCCATTTCATTTGATCTTGAAATGTGAATTTTTTAAACATTTGAAACAAACAAAAAAAATTGCCATGTTTATAGATTTTTACGTTCCACCATTGTTTTGTTTCTCATTTTTTTTGTTTTGTTTGGTTGCTGTTGATGATAAATTGCAAATTTTTCTCTTGTTGGAAGCAACAAAAAGATTTTCGTTCCAAAAGAATTGTTTTTTTTTGTTGGAAAAAAAGAGAAAAATAACAGCAGCAATAACACAAGACAACGACAATGTCAATGAAGGATTGTCATTGAAAAAAAAAATAATATTTGTCGATATTATAGACATTTTAAACAAGCAACAAATGTTGATCATAATGATGTTGAAATGTTGATCATCATCAACAACATCATATAAATTTAGTTGAACTTGATCTTGGCGATTGTCGAAGGACATTGTCGACGACATTAAATCAAATCATTACAAATACAGACAAAGAAAGAGAGAGATACACAAGGAGAGAAACAGTCGCCAAATGTACTTGATTTTTTCTTTTCCACCAACAACAAATAAATATGTTCAATGGTAATCAATCTAAACATTCATTCATTATCTTCAAATTTTTTTTCTACCAATGATGAAAAAAAGATTTTCAATTGTAAACGATAATGTTCAATGGTAAATGGAATAAAATGAAATTTCACTCATTCATTCTTTTTATACGAACAAGGATTGAGTAGTGGATTTTTTTGCATTGTTTTTTGTTTCGTTTTGTATATTTAACACAAATTAAAACCAAAAATTCAATTAATGAAACACAATGATTTTTGAATGAATGAAGGAAATGAAATTTTATTCGAAATCGAATCGAAGGAAGTATTTTTGTTTTCCAAAGAAAAAAAATATTCGATAATCGATTATTTCGTTCATCTAATCATCGATTCGAATCAATAATGATCTTTGTTCTTTCAAAATGACAGGATAATGTTATTTTTGTAACAACTTTTTTCTTTCTTTCTTTCTTGATCTTTTAAAAGATATCCAGCCGAAAAAAAACGAGAACATTTTATTGTCAGTTAGTATTGTATGTCATGGACCTCATTTTTTTTTGCATTCAATTTTGAAAAAAGTTCAACTTTAAGAAGAAAAGAAAAGAAAAGAAAAGAGTTCGATCTGGTTAAGGATGGAGAATTCTCTCTCTCTCATTTATTCATGTTTTGAGATGCTTTATTGTGTTGTGTGTTTGATGTGATCACGATTATGCAGCAACAGAAACCATTTTTGTTTTGGTGATCATGATGATGATTATGGTAGCTCTATACACAAATAAAATTTTTGGTGAGAGAATGCGAACAACAACAACAACCAAAAACAACAAAAAGATTGGTTGACCACCTTAAATAAAAATAATCATCATCATCATCATCATGTTTATCGGGTCAAGCCGGTCATTTTAAATAATAATGGTCATTATAAATAAATGAATTTGGATGATGATGATGTTCAATAAATTTGTTAAATTTATTGGTGCTGTTCATTTTGCTCTTTTTGGTTAATCAACAAAACACACCAGATAATTATTATCGGGTAACTAATTGGCCTCATTAATCAATCGATGTGACTATCAATAGATCGATAGGATCGATCTATCTATCTTAATCGACCATCACCACACATCATCAATCGTATTGCAAAAAAAAAGAAAAAGAAAAGAAAAAATCATTCAACCGGAATATTGAGAGAAAGAAATTTTTCATCATCAAAATCATCATCATCATTCTCTATACATCTTTTCTTATCGAATGGCAAACATAAAAATAGCTTCCTTGTTTTTTTTGGTTCATTAGGCTTCTATCTATTCTTCATATTTTGATTGATCATAAAATACTTTTTTTCCCCGGTAATTCTTCTTGTCGAAAGGGTCAAGATAAATTATCTTTTTTTTCCTGAAAAAAAGGAACCAAATGAATAAGTATGAATTTTTCTGGTTAATCGATTTTTTTGTTGTTGTTTTGTCTCGGATTAATTAATCATAATTTATCAATCATCTTTTCATTAAAACATTTAAGACTAATTTTTCATTTTCCCGAATGATGATGATGATCAAAAATGACAACAACAACAGCAACAATCCTTGGGACATGTCTTTTTTTTCGGTCAATTTTTCAAATCACATCGTTCGGGCGTCATAAGGTTTCATTTTTCTACATTTCTCATTCAGGAAAAAAAAAGATCTTGAAGCCATCATATAGGATCTTTGATCTTATTTCTGATTGATTGTTTTATTCATTCCAGTTTTTTTATTCACTTTGTTTTTTTCCTATCTTTGATGGTCAAACTGATTTCGTTTTGAATGTTTGATGTCAACATTGAACACCATTCCATCTCTCTCTTTCTCTCTCCCACACACACACATAGAATATTTCACAGAATGCTCCCCAAAACAAAACCACAGCGCAATACCGGAATCAATTTTCAAATTGGTTTTTTCTTTCACTGTTGTTTATTCAATCAATCGGTCGTTACACTATATTCCATATCGGGATTGTTTACGAATAGGGGGGAGGATAATAATTTAGCAACCAAAAAATCATTTTACTATTTCAACAACAATTGTCACTCATAATTTTGGCTATTTTGCACATCCTCTTTTCACACACAATTCGATTCTTTGATCAAACAAAAGCAAAATCAAATGAATTTCTTTAAACTACAGAATTTCAATGTGAAAATATATGGAATTTGAATTGTTTGTTTCTGTTGTCATCGTTGTCGTCGTCGTTGCCTAGCTAATCAATTTTCTTGTGTTCTAAATAATTTTGTTTTGTTTTTTAATTTATTTATTTTTATTTCTTAATGTTTTTTTTGTTTTGTTTTTTGTTGCACACCTGGATTTCTCACACAGTGGCTCTCTCTCTCATTCACTCACTAACTTCTATTCGTCGATTATTTGTGTTTGTATGTCATGATGATGATGATCTAAATTTCTAAATTTTCTTTCATTACATTGTTATAGATATTTTTGTTTTCACAACCACCATCATCATCATCATGGAGCATTCTATTTTCTGACCACATTTATTCATTTTTTTTCTATATATCAATCTTTCCAAGCCAAAGGTGATGGTGTTCCAAATTTTTTTCTTTGCTAATCAAATCGTCATTTTCTTTCACAAAAAAAGAGTTGATTTTTGAATGATTAAAAAAAGAGTGATTTCATCATTTATGAATTTTAAATCGGAAAATCCAGAAAAAAACCGAAATTTGAAAGTTTTGTTCATTGAAGTTTTTTTTTACTGATCGGCTCGGTTTGTTTATCATTTTTTTGGTTGCTTATTATTGATTGCAATTTGTAAATATTTTGTTGATCAAAATAAAAAAAATTGATCCTTGATCAATTTGATGTCTATAGATTGCTTTGTTGTTTCATTTTTGGCATATAATCATCGGAAAATAAATATTAAAAAAAAAAAAAAATCTTAAACAAATTTTTTTGATGTCAGTGGAAAAGTATACCAAAACTAAATCATCATCATCATCATCATAAGAAGTAGTAAATAAATCTGTGTTGAGATGTGTCCCAGAAAAAAAAATAAGAAGAAAAAAAAATTGGCTCACGAAAATCCCAATTTCTCTTCAAAGATTTATTTTTGATTAATTTTTTTTTCTCTTTCTCTCTCTCTCGCTATTGTATTGAAATATTTCTTTCTTTGAAATGATTCATTGATTTTATATCGATCATAAATCAATGAATCATATTTTTTAAAAAAATAAACTATTTCGATTTATTTAGGACTACAAATTGGAATCGAAATTAAGATATAAGAGATATTCGAATTCGAACTTTTCTATTTGGGTGTGTTCGAATTCGAATCAAATGAACGAATATATCGCGATACAATCGAGGTCGTCATCGATATTTGATTCAATAATTTTTTCGTTTTGCATTTGAAATTGAAAGATACTAATAATAAAAAAATTATTCAGATATTTTTTTTTACCCGGTGATGATTATGGTGATGATTAGAATGATGGTCACACACACACACAAACAAACAAGACAAACAAACAGAAACACAAGATGAATTGAATGATAATCAAGGAAATAAAATCATTGAAATAATAGAGACAGAGACAGAGAGGGAGAAAAAGATGGTAAACGATATTGGTGATAGGGTAATTTCAATGATGGTAGTTTTGTAATGTTAGATATAGAAAAAAAAAGGTGAATGAATGAATGAATAGATAGTTAGTTAGTGAGTAAAAGAAATGATGATCCTGTTTTTTCTTACCTGTTCACATTCTGGTTATTCTTCTGTTTTACAATAAAAAAAGGAGTTTTTATTTATAAATAAAAAAATGTTTGAATTGAATTTTGAAATTATCATTGAACCTATCATCATCATCATTATGATTATCATGATGATGATCATCATCATCATCATTAACAGGTCGAATAGTAGTTAGATTTTGTACCTGTCATCGACTGTCATTCGGTTATCAAAAAAAAAAAAAAATGTAGTAGGGGTAAATCATTCTGTCATTTAATGGTTGCTTTTTTTTTTTTCATTTACTTCCTGACAACGG